AAAAAAAACATAAAGAAAAGTTTGGAGGCAAACACTCATAAGGCTAGATAATGCTGACCATAAAAGTAATAAGTTCCTAAACAAAAACCATAGTGACAGGTAAGGTGTATCTCCATATGAGTTGTTGGCCAGCCATGCCCCAGAGTACCACAAAACAATACATGCTCTTGCCATTCTGCCACCAGCACTAGTTGATAAGGCCTTTTTGCTGAAAATACCACACACGTGGATTCAAGTTATAGAGAAATCAAGCCGAAACTAGGCTGAAAAACCTCTTTGCTTCCTAGCTTATAGAGTGCCATATGCCACTATTCAGACTGCTGGGAGAACAAGAGATCAGATTTCTTATCTAGCTGTGAACTCGTTGAACTATAATTCCAACTTCCTAGGCAAGGTGTGCCCACTGGTACAATGGTGGCATTACTATATTGCAGGTAACCAATGACTCCATAGTTATCTGAGGCCCATTCCACAAGAGGCAACCCATGCCTATGACTATAAACCTGCTAACATTCTTCTGACTGTCGTGGCAATCATGAATCCACAACAGCTGTGCTCACTAGCACTGGGTCTGAACAAATGAGTCTGTCCAGGCACTGTGGCAACCAACAGATTCGGAAAGAAGAGGAGGGGCAGTATCCAGCTGTGTAGCCCCTGGTGCTCCCTTCAGGGTTCTAGAGAAGTAGTTGTGTAGCCACTGGTATTCCCTCCAGGCTCTAAAAGGTAGTTTCAAAGCCAGGGTCATGCAGATAGTCCTAGTAAACTCTGCAGGGCGCAAAACGAAAGACATAAATATAGCAAAGAGATTTGCATGGAAGAAGTGGGGCTGACAGGGGTGGGAGGGATATGGGGGTTAACCAAAATGCATTATGAAGAAGTATCAAGTTGTCAAACAGTACATTTGTTAATAAAAATAAATACAAATATAAATATAAGGTTTACCTATAGCAACATGTAAAACTGTATTGAACTCTGTGTATAAAGGATCAGTCCCAAGTGTGAGGGGCTCATGCTTCCTGAAGGGGCCAGCCAGGAACTGTGGAGACATCATAGATGGCTGCCTCTCCCCACTCACTGATTTATAACAGCACGTCCCTCCCCCAGATCCTTCTTTCCTTTCCCATTTCCTACCACGGGAATTCTTAAGAGGTGACAGTCAGTCAGAATGACCTGTTGCCTTCTGACAGTTGAACCCATCTCACCACCATCTCCAGCCCACATTCCACTGCCCTCACAATTTCACACTGCAGAAGAGAATGTCTCTTTGGTGGCTAGTCTCTGTGGCTTGCAGGATCTCCACCAAAGACTACATTCCCCAGCCCTCTTCTTCCCTAGGTTAGTCATGTGGCTGAAGCCTACCAAAAAGTGAAAGGGCTGAGGAATTCAATTCCAAGTTCAGATCCTTTATTACTTCTAGGAAGACACACACATCCTATAGCCAAACACAACTGACTGTCCTTTTTTGGTCCCTCTGTTCCATCTATCTCCCTGCTTCTTTGGGCAACCATTTCTTTTGCCAGACCTTCCCTGTGGAGATGGGCCCATAGGTGAGAAATGAAAGCCACACCCCATGAGAGATGACAGAGGATAGTCACACAGTGAGAAAGGAAAAGAAAGAAGAGCCAGCACCAAAGTCAATCATTTAAAAATGAATAGAAACAAACAGTAGTATATAGAATTGCCAGCATTTAGTAACACGTCTACTCTATAAGCTCCACGTCAGCTGTGAGTGACACTGTTGCCTTGTCCTCCTCACCAGCAATGAAGATCTCAAGAGAGAAAGGACAATTGCCCTAGGATCACAAGACTTCAGACCTTACCCACTGAATTCAAGGATAGGTCTGAGAAATACAGGTACTGATCCTATCTCAAATGTCTTTCAGGTTAGGCAGCCATCGTCTTTTAGTGCATAAAGCCATATAAAAGAAAACCATGGTTCGCAGTTTCCTCAATACTGAAAGAACACAGATACTCTGATCAGAAAGATGAGAAGCAGGCAGAAATGAAAAGATCTCAGAGACGAATCCATCCTCTCTTCTCTAAGGCAATCTTTGGCAAACTGAGTCTTTTTCTGTGTGTTCATGTCTCTGCCAATGGGAATCCTTCTTTATCCCCAAGAAGAGACTAAAAAACTCTACTCTATTTTTGAACCTCACATGGTTATTAACTATTTTCAGAAGAGGGTTTAGGGGAACTTTGAGCTTTAGAACATTCTAACAGTCTACCAAGAGACTGCATGAAAATCTGGACGCATACCCCCTTGGCTCACAGTGAGAGACTCAGGCAAGGCCCTCCGCCCTGTTCCCTGGGCCTCCCGCTACTGCACGCTCTGAAAGTCATTCAGCTTTTGAGTACTGTTGTCCCAGTCTTGTTGAAGGCTATACACTTTTGCATAATTTATTCCACATGTTTGTTTGTTGGGCCTGCCAGAGGCATATATCGTAAATGTTTCAATGCCTTAACTTTTGATGAGTTTTCTTTAGAAATAAGTGTCCCCAGGGTGGTACACAGAACAGTAAATTAACACCCGTCTATCCGCACACCTTCTCCTGGCCCAGCTCCCTTAGTTTCGGTGTTCCCCATAAAACATTCATGGCCTAGAACATCACAAGGCGTGCCAGGCAGGGCTGGGGGATGGGTCATGCATCCACATTGAGTAAATATTTGGGTGAAACAAGTTTCATGAGGTAACTCCCAGAACCAGTTAATAGATTTTGTTTTTAAGTCCCCCCTCCCCCTACCCACTCTCTCCTCCTCCTCTTTCTCCTCCTTTTCTCTTTCTCTCTCTCTGTCTGTCACTTATACGATTGTTCTTAACATTCTTACACAAATATTCTTAGCAGCTCAATGGGATGGTCCGAATGAGGGATTATGTGTCCATTCATAACATCAGTGGTGAGTATTCTTGCGTTTTCCCCAAATGTTTAACTCTCTAGTCTCCAATAATTTTTTCATCTCCTCACCCAAGCCAGGACCCATGGTCTGTGGCTAACAGACTTTAGAATCAGACTAATGTATTGACTGGACTCTCATGCCAGTACTCTGAGAGATGCTCTCACACCCACTTTTTCTGTGATACCAAACCTCCCACCCTCTTACCCCCACCCCCACTGCAAGCATCTCTGCTCCCTGAATCAGGGTACTGATTTCTAAAACCATACTCCACAGAATGACTTCTTGACTGACCTCTAGTTGTATTGTCCTAGTGGGAGGTTCTGGCAAAAACCTGGAAGGTGGGGCCTTGAGGGATTTGAGGTGGCTTTCCTCAGTGTTCTCTCAGCTTTAGAAGGTTTAGAAGGGTTCCAGTTCCTGTCGGGTGGTCATGACTCCAGGTTCTGATAGTATCGCTTCCGCTTCCCTTTTCATCCTTCCAGTGGATAGCCACTAATCTCTCCTTGCCTCAGTGTCCCCCTGTTTGCCTCAGCACCACATCTTCTAACACCTTTATAATTTGTTCCTTGTGTTGCGGTCCTCTCCAGGGCTCTATGTAGAATGAGCTTTGCTTTTGGGCTACATTGTAATAGAAAGTTCGTGGAAGTAAAGGACACATAGGTTGAACTCTCAGAGGGTTGACAGCTTACCTTCTCAATCTCACCACCCATATCTAGCATCTTGCTTCAACTTATAGCTCTTCCACCTTATATGAAGAAAGAAAGAGATTATACTGGCAGTGAGGGATTTTAGGAAATTGCCCCAACTTTCTAGGAAGGGGTATTCTAGATAAAGGTTCTATCTGCTCAGGAAGCAAATCCAACGAATTCTTTTACTAACAGCTCCAGACTACAGCATATTCTTAAATGCAGCATCTATCGGTGCTTATTTTCCTGAATTCCCTTTACTGTCTGCTTGCTGAATGCTGAGCAAATTCTACACACTGCTGCCCGAGCAACCAAAGTGTGACTCTGCTAAGCTTTACACAGAACCACTAGCCAGGCACGACTCTCTCTTCCCAGGTTTCCAAAAACCACTATAATCCTCCCTGCCTTTCATTCAGAAAAGCACCAAATGTGACTCCTTCTGGGGTGCAAGTATCTTCTAAGGGAGGACTCAGGAGGACCCAGGACACTGGTTCTACCACATGTAGATTAGACTGAACAAATGAATGCCCTTATTGAATCTCCATTTTCTCATCTCAGAATTGGGGACCAACAGGGTTTAGAACGGAAATAGAGTAGTACTGTAAAGCAGTAAGCACACTGAACACTTACATCATCATTATTACCATTTCTTTTATGTCAAGATCCCTGAAAGCACCTCTCAGAATAGCCATATTAATGCTATGAGAGCTATACAATGGTCAGGCCAATTGCTGAGGTGATGGGCTGATGACCATCATCATCATAACACCATTAGCAACGAAAATCCCCAACCCTCTGAAGGGAAGAGGCTTTAATTTTTCCATGTGACAAAAGGGACAAAAGAGACCCACAGGGGCTGTGCTGCATGGTGAAAGTGGTGTGGTCCATTCAGGTTCTAACGTGGAGTGTGTCAACCTCTTAGCTTCACCATGCTAACCCTCCTCAACAGGAATAAAAAGTTAACACCTTATCACAGTACAGACATGTCACTTCCAATCAGTGTCATCATGACATGATGTTCACTGTTTGTTGGGGAAATTTTATATTTTTTTAATCAATGGATATATCTAGCAACACACTTAATGTTGAAAGATGATTTTTTTTCTTCTAAGGCCAAGCATAAGACAATTCCATTCTCACTGTTTCTATCCAACAACATGTATATCAATGGAATAAAATTGACTGTTTAAATATAAATTCATTCATTTATCTTAGGCTAATTTTTATAAGAATGTCAAAATAATTCAATAGGTATAATACCACTTTAATAAGAAAGCACAGTATCCACTTGCAAGAAATTCATTTGGATTCTCTATATCAATACAAAAATTACCTCAAGTGTTCATAAACCTAAGTATAAGGGCTAGAACTACAAAATATTTCATGATCATTGAGCAACACCGAGCAAGGCAATAATTTCTTTTTATTATGAAACATTTTACAAATTTGTGTGTCATCCTTGCCCGGGCACCATGGTAATCTTTTCTGTACTGCTCCAATTTTAGTATATGAGTTGCTGAAGCGAGCCCTAGGCAATGATTTCTTACACCTGACACAAAAGTACAATCGACAAAAGGAAAAATAGGTATCTTGTGATTTAAATAATATCATCAACAAAATAATACATAAATGTTTATAAATGATATTATCTGATATAGGGCTAGCATCCCAAATATACAAAAAAAACTAATAATTTTATAATGAAAATCAATTAACATAATTTTAAAATAGGTGGAAGATTTAACTAGACAATTTTCTGAAATAGTGACAGAAATTACCAACCTCATACAAGCAGATGTTTGGCATCATTATCCATTAAGGACATGCAAATTAAGACAACAATGAAACAGCACTTCATATCAGTAGAATGGATAAAGTTAAAACACACATGGCAAATGTTTGATGTGGAAATGGCATAACCACGTACCAAAGGTTGGAATATATAAAATAAGCATCCATTTTGGGAAATAACATCTTCAAAACGTCAAACAAAAACTTAACATATTATCCATTAATCCTATTCTTAGACATACACACGCACACAAATACACACACACACATACACACACACACACATATATAAATGCATAGTAAAGTAAAATTCATTCACAAATATCCATAGCATTACTATTCATAATTAATTGGAAAATAAAGAACACCCATCAACCAATGGATGGATAAATAAAATGGACCAAATTCCAAACATGAGACATTATTTGGCAATACAAACTAGGGAGATTCGGACATAAGCTAATGACATCATAGGTCAATTTTCCCAAGTGAGAAGCTAAACCCCACATTATTAAGTGATTTCATTTACGTGAATCTCCAGAACAGCGTATCTCAAGACACCAAGAGAACATTACTTATTTTCTATAGCTTGGCAACTAGGTCTAGGGACATTTCTTTTTTATGTTTATTTTAAGGTTTTTGTTTTCCTTTGTGCTGCTTTGCCTTGCAGTGCTGGGGAGTGAACCTTGGGATGTTTCCATTTTAGACAAGCATTCCACCACTGAGCTATATCCCCAGCTGGGTACAGGATTTCTAGTTGGAACAATAAAACTTTGAAGACGTATTGCGGGGACCAGCTGCATAAATCTAGGATGGCAGTGAAAGCTACTGAACTGTACGGGTGAATTGTAGGCTATGTTTTGTTTTTGGTACTTTGAGACTAGGTCCCGTGCAGCTCAGGCTGACTTGGAACTCACTAAATATTGGATGGAGGTGACCTGCAACTCCTAATCCTCCTGCCACTGCCTCCCAAATGCTGTATGTGTCACTCTGCCTAGACCGAACAGGGTGACTTCTAAAGTATGAGAATTAACTCTTGATTTTTAACATACATATATGTTCAAAAATTTAAAAGGAAAAAAAAAAACCAAAGCAGTAGACTTCTGGAGTTAAATAGAACCACTGACTGGCTCTCCCACAAATAGCTGTGTGTTCTTAGGGAGTGCCCTGGGCCAACCTGAGCCTCAGGAAAAGGTAGTGTTTTTATCACTCAGTAGGGAGGTAGGTATGGAGAGAAGATGGAGTCTCGGGGTAACAGTTAAGTGGGTGCCCAGTTGAACCACTGGGGTGAAAGAAGAGCATCTAAGTGCAGCTAGACTTTGGTTCTTTTTTTATAATTTTTTTCTTTATTAATTACACTTTATTCACTTTGTATACCCCCTGTGGTTCCCTCCCTCCTCCTGTCCCAATGTCCCAATGCCTCCCTTCCTCCACCCTCTGCATGCATGCCCCTCCCCAAGTCCACTAATAGGGGAGGACTTCTTTTCCTTCCTTCTGATCCTAGTCAGTTAGGTCCCATCAGGAGTGGCTGCATTATCTTAGACTTTGGTTCTTAATTCTAGTCTGTTCATCAGAAGAGATGCCTTTCATAGCTATCGCATACTTCTTGATGCCCCCAAATTCTGTTCTGCACTGAGTACTGACCACAACTCTTTCCTCCCGTTCCATCAGATACCGATGCAGCGGCGTGCCCACCATCACTGTCACCCACCAATGGCTAGAGTTGTAGCGCAGGAAGAAGCATTTACAATATCACCAAAACGGAAGGAACAGGAGAACTCGGCTCCTGACAGTCGAACACAGGCCATGTTTATCTCACAATGAGCATTGGGAAACCCACTTCCTCCCACTGCCCATAAGGCATTAGATGCCTTGAGCTTTGCATCCTCAACAGCGTGGTGAAAAAGAGATGCTGAATGCTACAACATAAACATACGCATCATTCATAATGCATTCAGATGTTTTTCAATTATTCATAGTTCCCGAAAGTCATTTGACCTATCATGCATATATATTCAAGCAATATTTATATTAGAACCATAGCCTCGTTGTACACAATTCCAGCTCGTTGGCGTTCCCGTCTATGCAATTAAAATGAAATGAGTCGGGGCTGGAGAGATGGCTCCATGGTTAAGAGCACTTCCTGTTCTTCCAGAGGAAGAGCTAAGTTTGATTCCCAACACCCACATCAAGCCGTTCACAACCACCTGTATTACCCCGGCTCCTCCAGGAGGATCAGACAATTCCGGCCTCTAAAGGCACCTGTACTCACATTCACATACACACATATTTGCAATTAAAACAATAAAAATTATTTTAAAACATTCAATGGGCCACAGGTCAATAAAAGTTATATGTGATTTCCATCAAATGATCCACTGTGTACTGTTCTAAAGTGAGGGGGGAGAAGTTGCGTGGAGTTGCTACAGCTGACAGAACACGGAATACGTGCTTCGTGATGAAGGTGGCCGTGGTGATTAGTCTTCTAAAACCAAATTAACAATTTCTCCAAACAGTTGATGCTGTTGGACCCTCTTTTTGGATAAAGGAGGAAAAAGAAAACAGGCCCCCATCCCTTCTGTTTCTCTCTCTCTCTCTCTTTCTCTTAATGCTAGTATTCTGGGCTCAAAAACACCACATTCTTCTGTTTTGGTGTTTGCATAAATTTGCATGTTAACATGAATGGTTGCAACTTAAAGAATGTAAAATATAATGAAATTTGAATTTACATCCAGGATGAAGAAAAGACACATTGGAAAAACAACAGATTTTCACTTTTGTTGATTTTTTTTTTCCAGAAATCAAATTTAGGAAAGACATAAACACACAGTCTTGATTTAAAAGCAGGGTGGCACTCAGAGACAGGTACTGCCAAGGAAGACCTCCCTTCACTCCCCCCCCAAACACACACACACACACACACACACATACACACACACGTCATGCATATTGACAAATCACAGCACTTCTTTAAGCTCAGAACATGCTTAACACCACATTCCTCCTGTGGGCCACCCACAAGAACGAAATGTAGGAAACCTCATGTGAGTAACTCAAGCAAACACAGGCATGCATTTGCCCCTATGGGCCCTAAGAACCATTTTCTGCTTGATCCTTTGATTTGCCAAGTGCATTCTGAGGACTGGGGGCTGGTGGTTAAATACATGGCCACATTGACTGGGTGTGTGACTTCTAGCCAATGACATTGTCTTTAGATATAACTTTTCTTCGTGAGCTCTCCTTTTCATGTCATTTTTACCAGCCTCGGAGATTTATCCTGAGAATAAATGTAAATACGGTGCACTAAGGAGGCTGGCTGGCATGGAACAAGGATTCTGCGGGGGTTAGCTGCAGAGTAGTGGTAGTGGGGACTTAGGTAATGCTGTCCACAGGACCCAGTCCTGCAATGGACTCTCTCTTCTTCAACATGCCCTCTCCTTTTGTCTACACACAGTACTATGAGGACCTCAGTGGAACTAGCTATCGTGACAGCCTGTTCCCCAGGGTACAGGGTACAGGATGAAGAGGGACATCAAGCTCTCACTCCATCCCACCCACAGTCACTCCTTTTCACAGCCAGTGTCCCGTCACTAAGGTTCCCAAATAGCACGACAGCAGGCACTAAACCAGAAAGAGCTACGGACACAGCGTCTCACCTCGTCATCCTCAGGTGGATTCGCTTCCAGTTTCTGAGATGCCAACTTGTTGCTCTCCTTTAACAGTTTCTCCCGTACTTTGGTTTCATACTCGGGCCGGGAGTGTTCCTACACCAGAGAGTTGGTAAACAGAGTCAGTAAACAAGAAGGAGGGTGACCTGGGCATGTGGGTCAGGACCAGACACCACAAGTACATCAAACTGGGTTGAAGAATGGACACTATCAGACATGAATTGCCACGTGACACAATTACAAGAAGTCTATGCCAAGAACACAGTGTTGGGAGGAGAAAGGAGACACGGGACTCGAATTGTCACACTGAGAATCAAACCTGGGAACGTTCCTGGAGTTGGCGCCGGTGTTGAGAAAGGAGAGAGAAGACATTAACCAGAAAGCTGATACAGGAAGAAGCTACATGTTTTGCAGGACAGTAAACCAAAGGCAGGGGTGTTGCCTTTGGTTTGTCCCCCCCTCCTGCCCCTGTCTTCACGCCTCAAGCTCAACTACAAGGAGCCCAGTCCCTGATGAAAGAGATGTGCCCCACAGCTGGGAGTTTGAGGAAGCAACAATACTTCTCTTCCATAATTCTGCGGCCTAAAATGGCAGCTAATAAACATCAAAGTCTCAAGGTGGTCATTGGGGAATCTTAAAATTCATTGCCTAGACCTTCTGCGCAGCATCGGTGAACACAGCATGCTGAACGTAGGTGAACACAGCATGCAAATACTCAGGAGACATCATTAAGCTATTTGCCAATCCAACCTGGATTATCAATCACCAGGCATGGGAAGGAGCTCCCGGCGAATCAAGAGGAGCATTGCTGAATGAAATCACTACAGACACTGCGCCAGGAAGATTCACAATTTACTCCTTAGCAGTGGGCAGCAGGCCTCTCTGACAGGCCTTCCCACAATGGCTAGCCTCAAGATGAATTCCTAAAGCAAGAGAATGTCATGTTCTTTTTCATTTTCTGATGACCCCTAAGCTCAGATTCAGGTGCAGGGGGTTCTGCCACTCAGACAGCACATATGTCAGAGGCGCTAAAAGCCAACTCGCTAGACACTGTGCTGGCCCCTGGTTTGCCTGACATACCATGCCGTTGGAGAAACTACCCAGATGATTAAGGAGCATGAGATATCATGGTGGGTGATGCTATTTAAGTGCCTGTGCCGGCTCTCAGCCATCACACAGTCTTCTAAGGCACCAGACCCATGGCTCCCAGGAGTCCCCTAACCACTGCAATGTACCTCAGCCGGGCTCGGCTCCAAATCCCCAGAGTTGTGTAGCTTGCCTCACACATTTTGCACTTTCCTTCCGGCAGCCAGACTCATGCGAGCATCTTGTTCTCTTCTGAAGACTGACTGCATGTTCTACATTCTTTTGTTTCACAGTGACTGGCACCATGAAGAATGCATGGATGTCTCTAAATGTAGCTGAGGCTCACTTCAGTTTGCCTTCCCATTCTCCAACACAGCATTCCCCAGAGGTGGACTCCAAGAGAATTACAGTTGAATGAAGACTTCCTGGATGATATCTCCCAGGAAATCATCTTTCTGAGACTCTCAGTGAGCATACTGAAACTTCTAGAAAGCGCTCTGCTAAAGACACTCCCCAATATCCTTTGGCTCACTAATTCCCACAGGACAGCTTTGGACAGTAACAGTTAGGATCCTGATGGGATACTTTGGGAAATGTGGGCTGACGTTTTCCACCATGGCCGCTGACGTCCCCTTTGATTCGTTTCATCATTATTCCAAAGGAGGGGTCATAGTTAAAAGCTGCAGCAACACCATCCGCAATAATTCGGATAAATCCCAGGATTCTTACGCCAGGCAGACACACCTTACCTAGCTATCCTCCATTCCTTCCCAGGAGACACATAAGCAATTAATGCCAAGCCTGATCTGGCTACCAGATGGTAGTGGTTCCTTGCCCCTCACTGGCTCCTCATCCTTGTCTCCTCCAGTTGTCTTTTTTTTTCTAGAAATCTTGGCACTTGTGATCTACACCCATAGCTTCCTAGATCAAGGTTGCCAGATCATAGCTTCCCAGATCGTTGATTCCTTCTTGGGGATGCCTCTTCTTCCCTGCTTTGCCCATTAAAATGCAACAAGTCTTCAAATCCCTGATTTTTCTTTAAAAGACTTTGTGTTTGGTAAAGGTAACTAGAACCCAGGGCCTGGGTATACCAAGCAAGTGCCGTGCTACTGAGCCATATGGCAGCACTTAAAACCATATTTTAAACAAGGATCTCCTCTTCCTATCTTAACCAGAAGAATGTTGTTTGTAATACTCTCCCTTCTACCCTAAATATTTACAGATCAAGCAACACCCTGTTGAATGCAATCCTTTGGGGCTCAGGGACTAACTTCCATATTCTATACTCAAACTTGGAAAATAGTACATAATTAAGGTTCTGAAAGGACGCGTTAGGTGTGCTGCGATCCTAGTCCAAAATAAGAATGTGTTGAAGACAAAGCTGAGCCTGACTTCCCTTGGCCTCACTTACGCTGTCTCCAAGCAGCACACAACGTGAGGCACAGGATCAACACACACACACACACACACACACACACACACACACACACAAACAAACCCAGGAACATTTCCTATGCTACAGGCAAAACCTTGGCCAGCCTGCATGTTAGTTCTTCACTCATGTAACCTCCCAGAAAGCTGCAATGGCTTGTTGGGTTAATCAGGAGAACAGGAAACACAGCTATAGAAAAGGAAAATGGAGTCTAAGCCTACTCCTGCCAGAGCCTAGAGCAGGAATTTCAAATATACTGAGTCATGGATGATGCTAAGTGCAAGCACGTCTGCAGGTCCTTTCTAAAAGCCAGCCAGCTTGTCTACGGCTCGCATAGGTTTTGAGTGGCAGAGGGTTTCTCCTCCCCTTCCTTAGAGACATCTCAGCTCCTGGCATAAGGCAGGTAAGAAGTACTTATACCCACCTTCCCAAACCCAACCATACACTTCTTTCCTCCCTGTTCCTCTCCCTTACCCTCCCTCTCCCTCTCGCCTATTCCTTTGACCTCAAGTAGGACTAATAGGCTAACTATGTCTCAACTGTATCTCCCACAGTTAAGCCAGCTTCTACAGGTCTTTCTTTCTGTTAGGAATACATCACAGTCATTGAGCTCTAAGAAATGCAATAGCTTCTGCTATTCTTTGCTGCCTATCTCCCAGTTAAGTCTCTAAGAGGGCACAATCCGTATGCATAGTCTCCCATTGCTGCAGAGCCAGTGATGGTACTGCTCCAAGATCTGGCGCTTAGCAGGAAGGATTGGACTGAGGTGGGTTCATATTGCTCATACCCAATCATGAAATAGGATAGGGTACACAATGTTCAAAACCCCCATTTCATTTTAAAATTTCTTTTAATTTTGTGTGTGTGGGTGTTTTGCCTTCATACATATCTGTGTACCACCTACAAACCTGGTGCCTGTGGAGGCACCAGAGGAAAACATAGGCCCCTCAAGAACTAGCACTACTCATGGTTTTAAGTTGCCATAAAGGTGATGTGAATCTAACTCAGGTCCTCAGGAAGAGCAGCTTTTAATCGCCTGGGAATTCCTTCAGACCTTGAAAGCCCATTTCAGGTAGGGAAAGCTACATTAGCCTACCTCTCCCTTCCGAGCACTTAATCAGCATGCCCTGGATTGGTAGGTTCCATTCTATGAGCTGCCGCCCCTGCCACTCCTCAGACCATCTGTCCAAAGGCAAGTTGACTAATTATAGAATTAAAGATATGAAATGATAACATGCTACAGACTTGAGGGTAGCATGGGCTTGCAAAAAAAAAAAAAAAAAAAAAAAAACAAGACTAAATTGTAAACTTATTTTCTCTTAAAATATCAGGGTCACAGAGTAAGAGCCCAAGGCAAAGCATGTCAGACACAACAGGACAGTGAGGAGAAGGATTGCATCACACCCATGGCTTGCCTTGCAGGTGAGTTCTCACACACAGAGGAATGGTCCCTGGACCTTCCAGAGACATGGTCCTCCACTATCACCCAAAGCACCCACAGTACCAGAAGCTCCTACCTGATACTCACTTTGGTCCTCTAGCCCATGAGCAACATTTGGGATGAGCAGCCCTTGTAAATCTAGCTCACCAGAACCACAGCCGATGGCACTAATTCTCAGAAGAGCCATAAAGGAAGGCTCACTTTTTAGCATACCCTAAACATCACCTACCCACAAATATTAGACTTTGAAGGAATCTACCCTTCCCCCTAGGCTCATTTTCTCGATTCACATCGTCTACTGAATCCTGACAAAGTAACTTAGTGGGTCTCTCTGTTAGTTGCCCCAGAAACCTTCATCTATTCTTCCCATTCCTCCCCGTCTTGATGTTCATAGGCTCACGGGCATTCTGACATGTCCCAGCTCTAAACCAATGATTCCTTTTTCTCTGGCTTCTTGGTCTCAAGGTCACTTGCTGCCACTTGTTTGTGTCTCTTGTGCCATCTCTTCTTCCAGAGTAGGCTGCTGGGCTCTCTATCATCTCCAAACCATATACCTTAACAACTCAACGGAAGAGGAAGCCTTTGAACTCCCCTGATGCTTATAAACCACAAGGTAGCCAACAAGTGAGACCCAGCCAGTGACAGCAGAGGAGATGGCAAACCTCAGGTGACTGACCCACTCCAGACAATCTAGTTCTAGGATCAAAGCACATCATGGCCTCAGGGGAGTGTGCAAGAGGACTCACTTCTTCCTCTTCTATCCCAGTCAGGTCCCAGAAGTAGCCCAACCGCATCTGGAGCCTCTTCCAGTTTTCTAGAAACATGGTAGCTTGAAAAGAAGAAAAAAAATTCAATTATTTTTGAAAAGTAGATTCTAGGTAGCCTTTCAGTTTACCAATACAGGTGGGACACACACTTGCAGAATTCAAACTTAAGAACAAATTTAAAAACTTTTATTAAAGCATTGAGCCCTGTGGCTTCCTCAGGAGCTACTCAAAACCCTCCACATAGTTGAGTACCTAGAGATACACAGTCACATGCCACTTATGGGTGGACGGGAACCATTCTGGAAAATGAATCATCAGACAATCTTGTCATCATATGACCATAATAGACTGTATCTATGTCAACACTTCTAAGATCATTGAACAACATAGTCCTAAGAAGCTATTTTGTATGTGTAGCCCTTTAGCGATGGTTACATTATAACATCATATATGACTGTACCTAAAAGACACATAAGAGCTTTTCCCCACTTCTAGATTCTGGAAGGAAAAGGACACTGATGGTGAGAAAGAAAGAAAGAAAGAAAGAAAGAAAGAAAGAAAGAAAGAAAGAAAGAAAGAAAGAAAGAAAGAAAGAAAGAAAGAAAGGAAGGAAGGAAGGAAGGAAGGAAGGAAGGAAGGAAGGAAGGAAGGAAAGAAAGAAACTTGGAAGGATAAGACAAATGAAACTGGAGGGAAATTATAATTTGGAGCTAAAATATCACCCAAAAGCTACATGCTCAAGATTTGATTGCCAGTTGATGGGCTTTTGGGAAGTGACTGGATTACAGAGGCTCAGGTCTCATCAATTAGTTAGTACATTAATGGGTTCACAATGATACAATCTATTGAATGGTCATAAGAGCTTAGGAGATAGATCTAGTTGGAGGAAAAGGGTCCCCAGCTACCCTCCTCCCTCTCTTTCTCCTTACTTGCTAGTCTCCATGAGATAATAGCCTCTACTACTCACTCATAATGCCATGACATTCTCTTTCACTTCGGGTCCAAAGCAAAGGAACCAGCCGACTGTGGGCTCAAACCTCCGAAACCACGAGCCCAAGCACATGCCCTCTCTTTGGAGCTGGATGGGAAGCTGATTTCCACGGCAGTCTGTAGTCTCTTCAATAAGCCTCATCTTGCCTGTGCGGACTCTTTCTGCCTGAAGCTTAGTCATCTCACTGTCGCTTCTCCCCCACCCAAATTACATAAGCCTTGCTCTCGCTTTCTTACAAGCCTCTCCTGCTTTGAGCAAGCACAGGCCAACTTTGAATTTTTCAGAAATAACAAATCCATGCTAAAACATCACCCGTGAACAAAACCTTTTATAGACACTGGCGTTGGTGTTAGATGGATTTGCTGCTGAGCTGTTTGTCTTACAAGATACAAAGCCATCACCACCACCCCCAGAAACAACACAGACCAAAAGCTGAGGGCATCCAGAAAGGAATGCTAGCTGCTGGGGGGGACATCTGAGTTAGACTCTAACAATGGACTCTGGCAATGAAAACGAGGTAGGCAGGGGGAAAATGAGACCCCTGACTGAACTCATGGATCTTTAAGCTTTCAGCTTTCTCTAGATGTTGAAACATGTGTGTCTAGCCCAGACCTTCTGAATAGACCTCTTCCATCATCTGCCAACATGCCTCACACCTACATTGCTGCTTCACTCATCTTAAAGTCCCCTCCGTGTTCAACATCTCCATCCCCATGTCCCACCTCACCCTACAGGTTGCCCTTTCATCCCATTCTGACCCAGCCCAAGTCACTCTTCCTCTACAATACTATCTCCAGATGGCCAGGCATCTGGGAAGGGAAAGGATGTGATGTTCCCCAGGGTCATCCCTCAAGTTCTGCATTGTCCTTGCTACCAGCCAGGTGCCCCTCACTGCTGGATTTCTGGCTGCCATCTTAGCTCTACGGTGCTGTAACCGGACTGAAAGCTCTCCCTGGGATGCTGACGACACGTTTAACTCACGCGCATTTCAGAACTGGACATAACCCTGTGCAGGCTGAATGTGCCATCCTGATGGGCAGTTCTCTCCCTGGAGCTCGAAGCTCTGTTCCTGCAAGTGCACCTTAACTCCCGAGACTGACCTTGGCCTGGGGATACTGTCCTGGTGCTCTTCACAAGCCCATAGAGGACACACATAGGACAGGACTTGGGGGTGTCAATCACCCAGCCTCTCCATGGAAGAAGGGAGGCAGACTGTCAGCATGCAGAATAAGAAAAGGCGGGAGTGATGAGCAGAGGTGTCATGAGGTTGAGGACAGGCCGGCTCACTCGGCTCATGTTCCGAGTACAGCACCTACGCTAGGGACTCAGCTCTGGGCTTAACACACAAGTCCCATCCATAGCAGCAAGAAGTACGGCAGCAAATACCATTTCGCCCAGCTGAGGACACAGCTTAAGCACAATGCCCAGAGTAGCAAGGCTCCCTTTGTGACTGAAAGCACCGACTTCAGGGGACACTTAGTAAATATGGACAGAGCCAGGTCTGTATTCGCTGGCTTTGGGACCCGCAGCTCACAAGGAACAGAATGGAGATGGTTTGAAGACTGCCTAGCCCTTAGCGTAACCTTCTCTGCCTCTCTTCAGAGCCATGTGCCCCAGATCTTTGCCATGACTGATAGGACTCCATTCTCCCACTAGAGTTTAAAGCTAGATCTGCAGTAGTCTGGGCTGGATGTTCCGACAGGCTGGGAGCCTGCAGACCAGTGTCTTCATGGTGCAGACATCTTCAAACCCTTTTCTCACTGTCACCTGACCTGAGTCTTTCATATCTCTCTCTCTCTCTCTCTCTCTCTCTCTCTCTCTCTCTCTTTCTCTGTCTGCTCAGTGCTGCTTCTTTCCAGCCCCTCCCTGGCAAGCCTGGGCCACCCGACACTTCACCACTAATCATAATAATCTTAGTAATGGGAAGCATTACTGTAATTTTTAATTGTAATTTGTAGGCAATCATGCCTAAGGCTCTTGGCTGCTGTGCCTAAATACATAATCACATAAAACACATGAAGGCTACGAAGAAGAAGAAGAAGAATTAGAAGAAGAAGAAGAGGAGGAGGAGGAGGAGGAGGAGGAGGAAGAAGAAGAGGAAGAAGAAGAGGCCCTGACCCAGGAAGCCCTGATACAATCCCACCTCTATGTACTTTCCAGGGATGGGGCACTAAATTATTGAGATTCTGTTTACCGAAGCTATTGATAGCAGACCATGGGTAGTTGCTGGGGCTTGAGTCTAAGAAATGAAGCTGAAAACCTTACTTTATTGCAGGGAGTGGTGTGTCTCAGGAAAGTTCCATGGGAGACCACAGGCCCAGGCTTTAAAGCCATAGCTACTCCACGGTGGTAGGATCAACAAGAATGAATAGAGATTTGGTTTGTATTAAATCCAAAATTGAGTATGTGGTCTGGGTTCCAATTGGTTCAACGGGCTCTCAGGGTAGTTCCAACAGGCTGTGCTGGGCAGCAGACAGGTGCCTGTGGTTTCCCAGGCAGAAAGCTGCTCTTCACTTTTTTTTTCTGCTGAGTGACAACTCCAGAGCTACAGGTCTCAGGCTCCACCTCCTCCTATGTGCTCCTAGTTGAAGGGCTACCCAGCTGCCTCTGAGAGTCCCTTGAGACTAAAACCTAGAGTGCCCTCTGGAGGCATTGTGTGGAGACCTGGCAATACACAATCTTTTCAGACAAGCTTTGTCTCCTCCCCAGAAGAGATTCCCACAGGGAATGGGGGAAATCTGTGTTCCTGTTTTGTGGACGCTACCAAGAAAAGCCTCCTCTTCCTCCTCCTCCTCCTCCTCCTCCTCCTCCTCCTCCTCCTCCTCCTCCTCCTCTTCCTCTTCCTCCTCCTCCTCCTCTTCTTTTTCCTCCTCCTCTCCATCTTCCTTCTCCTTCTCCTTTTCTTCCTCCTCCTCTTCCTCCCCTATCTCCCCCTCCTCCTCCCCTCTTTCCCCCTCCTCCTCCTTTTTCTCCTCTTCCTCCCCTCTCTTAGTCCTCTTTGTCCTCCTCCTCCCCCTATCTTTCGGGAACCCCTGACTCAGGTCCCCCACGTCAGGTCCTCCAGCCCCTGCAGAGGTGAGGGAAGTCAAGTGGGCCCTGAGGCAGGACTATGGCCCTGATGAACTGTGACCCATGAGATGCCCATGGTCCTGCGCTCTCACCCTCACACTGAACGAAAACCAGGTGGTGACTGAAACATGTTGACTTGCTCTCTTTATGAATGCACAGGGTTGTGTCGTTCAGAACTGTCTTGTTTCCATGGGGAGGGTGTCCCAGTTTCTAAGAATACAGTGTGTGTGTGTGGTGGGGTGTATGTAATATGTGTGTGTGTGTGTGTGTGTGTGTGTGTGTGTGTGTGTGTGTGTGTGGAATGTGTGTGGTAGGTGTATGTGGGGGGTGGCATGTATGTGTGTGGTGTGGTGTGTGTGGAGGTGATACGTATGCTTGTGTGATGTGTGTCCGTGAGGTGTCGGGGGTGTGTATGTACGTGTGAGTTTGTGTGGTGTGGTGTGTGTGTGTCATGCGTGTGGGAGATTAGGTAGTATAGTGTGTGTGTGAGTGTGTGTGTTCAGATAAGTACAGTGCAGAGTTAGCTTAGCTATGCTGACACTCCAGGGAGAATGTAGGAAGAGGAAACGAAGGAAATGTTTGTTCTTTCTTTCACAAATACCTTTGGTGGGAATATTGGAAAACACCATTTTTTTACATTAAGTAAAATTTGCACAGTCTAAACTCATGGAGTCACGGAGCCTGGAAGCCGGGAGAGCAAATTTTAGCCCATCTTAACCCCAGCAGCCTCCTACCGCAGCAGCCCAGCAGCCCAAAGCTGCACTGCTCCCTCTCTGGCTTCACAAGGCTTGGGAGATGAGCCGGGTGGCTTATGGGTTGCCAGCGGCTTTTAGAACATGGGCAGGTTCAAATTCCCTGCCAGTCAGACATGAGGGGCCAACCTTGCTTCCCCAAGGGAAAACAGAACATTCCGATTTCCTTTCACAGACGTCACCAAAGCAGATGTGAAGAAAATGTGCTGATTAACTAGACTGAAAGCCGTGACCTTCAAATCTTGGCCTATTGAAGGACAGCCCCCATTGGGCAGACACACTGTGATGAGCGCTTACCCCACAAAGCCATGAAGATGGAAAAGAAGACAGTGGCTGGGTTGTCAAACAGATGGCTGGCTCGTGCAGTCCCACAGGCCGAGCTGAGGTTCCAGTAGTCACAGGACTTGTCACACAGGGGACACATGGTGAAGGCATTCTGGTGATCACACATCTCTCTGCTGCAGTGACAGAGGTTGACGGGTTTACTCTTACCAAAAGGCAACAGAGAACAAATGGGTCCTCTTCGGAGGAAGTAGGTAGCTCTCTTGTCACTACTAACTTCCCAGAAAGTGAATGATGGTCTCAGAGGTGCCTGCACTGAATGACGCCCCAGAATGCCTCTTCGGGATGTGCTACATCTCTGTGGCTGGTGAGAGACACACCACTGTGAATAAAGCAACACCCCGGGGCTGGATTTTGCTCATTCTTCAGGCACAGGATACTGTGCTGGGCATCCTTGCGAATGTGACACCTAGTCCCAAGCAGAAACGAACACATGATAGGACAAGAACAAGTATTAGCCTCTAGAGGAAGCATGTGAAGAGGAATGTTCAGAACAGTGCAAGAACATAGTTCTCTACCATCAGTGTCTGTAAGCCGTTTGTGGAATGGAGACAAATAACCTCAACCTGCAAAGAATTATGACAACCGTGAAACAGGATTAGGAAGAATCAGAAGGAAGGTAAATCCTTCCAAAAATGAGATTCTTACACTTGCAGAAGAAAGCAGGAGCCAAGTGACTCTAATGGCCTGTGGGCTAACCCATTAGAAATGTATTTCTATTTAGTAGACTGATGAATGTATTCATAATTCATTAAGTAATTCTGAATCTAAAACGTTTGTTAAAGCTCATATGCAAATTAGAATCAAAGAATTACCCGCCCAGAACAACTTCCTTAATATTCCTCTATTAACAAATAATAAGCTCATTGCCCTTGGGTGAAATACTCCCTCCACACATAAAAATGAAGAGCTAGGCTTCCAGGAGAAAGGGTGAAGAGCTCAGGACCATGTGCAAATAAGTCATTAGTCTTTCTTACCCCTCTCCCCCCACTGGCTGGAGCAAAAGTGCTAAGGGAAGCAAGGGACCAATTCCTCCTGACCCCCACATCTGCGTTCACTTCAGAAGGAGGCGTCAGGGGGTACTGAGGAGCACAGCTCATTAGGGGGAGGCCACTGTTCCCTGAGAGCTACCTTTAGCCCTAAGGAGTAAAGCAAGAGCTTCCATGGAACACAGGAAGCAAGAATGCCCACATCGATTTCCCCTTCCCAACGCAGCTGGAGAGGAGAGATTTAAGGGACTGTCACTTTTTATCAGTCTTTAATGGGTTAAGTCTCTAGCAGGGAAAGGCTGCCTGTGTCAGAGTATGAAAAGCCTGGGTCTCTGAGGAGAAATATTCTTCCCCCATTCACTCACTGCTGAGCTCTCTGTTAAGTGTCAATAAACGTGACTTGCCCACATCAAAATTAAGTGGTGATATCTTAGTAACATATCCAGTGCCACTCCCACATCTTCCTATTCTTATGAAACTAGAAAACACAGCTAATTCCAACCTTCTGGGCCACACAAACCGTCACCACATAGAGAGTGTTGCTCCTTTCAGAGAAGAAAACAGATTTACCCAGGAAAATAATTTGTCTGTATCAATTCAAGTAAAGAACTCTGATTTTCAGCCATGACTAAGAGCATGTGTCCCTCACACTGCCCTTCATGGACGTGCATTCAAGACTCTGTGTGTCTTGTCTTACATACTTACGTGCCAGGGAGATACGATCCCATCCAATCTAATTTTATCTAAATCTTGTCAACGCCAGAAGGTCAGGAATAGAAATGTATTATCATCATTATCACTCAACGTGGTACAATCCATTTTAAATACATGCACTGTGCCAATTACTCCTTTTAAAAACTCAAATGCTGGCATCTGTCAATTATTTGGACAAAACGGTAGCATGGATTCTTCTCAAATCATTTGAATTTGAAGGCAGAATGCTTGATATGTATTGGGGTTTTTGATGCAAGCAATTTTAATAGAATTTTGGAAAAATTTAATACCAGAATGTCAGTAAAAGGGCTGTATGTCCTGAAACAGGCAGCTTGTAGCCAAGCTGAAAGATGAGGAAGCCCAATCGGGATGGAAATCATTTCTGACTTATGCACCAGATTAATAAAAACAAAAACATCCAGATTCCTTGTGAGAAGTAACTGTGGCTATAAATCGAATGGTTATTCCTCCAATCTGTCATTTATTTCTATAAAGGATAGAAAGGTTGATGAATGGCCTGCCAATCAACCAAATTTAGACCCTAAAGCAAATGAGGTTCTTAAGAATGGATGAACACAGGACTTGCTAGCACAAAGCTCAGAGGCACAGAGAGGCCAGTTTCTGGGAAATCCAGACAAAACATCTGATCTTAAGGCCTCCGAGCTGAAGTAACTGACTTCCCTTTCCAATATGGTTCCAATTGATCAGCTGGTTTTCGAATGTTCCTGTCATTCCCACCGTGTAAGCACTTAGCAAAAAGGAACAGATTTCTCGGGAGCAACATCTTCTAGGTGTGCTTGGAACATGTACAACTACTACCAGTCAAACCTTTTGTATAAAATACTGAGGAATAAAAGTAATTACAGTTTCCTGTGATCAGTGTGACCTTTCTGGCTTTGGAGCTATAGCAGAGTTGTAGCAAATATGAGCACTGGGAAAACTGGGTGAAGTACCTCTAAGTTCCTCTATTCTTTGCAACTTCCTAGGAATCTATGATTCTTAAAAAACAAAAATATTTTAAATCAGAACATACTGAATTCCAGGCTTGATACCAAAATTAGCAATCTCCAAAACGATCTCCCAAATAGTGTTTTCATTTAGCAGACGATAGTACAGTGAAACTCTAATCAAAACCAAGAAAAGCTTCAGAGATGAAAGCAACTCATGGGGATTGAAATCTGTACTCTTGAGCAGTCATTAATGGTCACTGAGGTGATGACAAGGGAAAACTTAAAATAAAAAAAAAAAAATCGTATCAGCAAGTGAAAATGAAAAAACAGCCCAGAAAATTGAGATTCTGAGAGATTTCAAAAGAAGGACGCTTGTAGCTAGACCTGCCTATGGTATAAAATGGATAAATCTCAAGTAAATGACATAATAGAGAGTCTAGTGGCCTTAAAAACAGGAATAAATCAAACCCCAAGGTATCGCTGGGAAAGACATGATGCAGATGGAAGCAGAAATAAGTGGAACACAGACTGAATGAACAACACGAAGCGCTCAATAAAACAAAGAGCTGCTTCTTCGAAAAACTGAAGTCAACAACCCTGAGCCAAAACAAACAAAAGGAAGAAAAGATGATCTAGACAATTAAAGTAGCAGGAGAAAAGAGGATATGTTGCCACTGAGTATCTTGCAAAGAATCATGGAACTTAGTGTATTATTCATCCAGTGTCCCCAATGCTTATGTTTCCTGAAATTCAGGTCCAGTTTCAATGCCATGGAGTTCAAAGTCATCCTCTGTTACACTGGGACATTTTAGATAGCCTGCGCTGAGACCTGTATCCAAAAACCCAAAATTCAACAATGAAAAACAAACAAACAAAAAAAAGCAACTAAATGGAAATATATGTGAAACAAAGATGGCTTGGCAGTCTAAGCGCTCCCTGCTCTCCCATAAGACCCCAGTTCAGCTCCAAGCACCCAGCTTAGGTTGGTTAAAAACTAGTCAATCCGGCTCCGTGGAATCTCGTGGCCCTTTCTGGACTCTGCAGGTGTATGTCTATGTACACACAGATTCACGTGGACCTGCATGCACACACACCCAAGGTGACAAACGCGTGTAACACGCAAATGAAAAATAAAACAGAATTCAAACTACCATATAGTCCAGCTATACCATTCGTATGCACACATGTGTGCATGCATATGTGTATTAATTCAAGAAATAACACCTAAGAAGTCTTAGAGCAGAATAAGGAGCTAAGATTAAAAAAAAAACACACACACATACACAAAGAGAGTGAGAGAAAAAAAACAGTTCAATGAAAATACAACAAATTTCCCAAATCTAGGGGAAGCAATGGACACACAGTCAAAAGATATTATTTTAAGTCTCAGATAAACAGGATCAGACAAGAACTTACTTCCCAGGATACATTGTGGTCAGAATGCCAACCATGAATCAAGCAGAAAACAGTCACAACTGAGATACAAAACCACCAATGCAAAAACAAATGGCAGCCCCTCAAAATAAAGCCAGGCATCTACAATCAAGTATGGCGTGAATTGCTCATATTTGGAAACAAGAAGAAAGGGGTCCTGAAAGTAAAAGAAAGATAACTGGGAAGGAATTTTCCCGCCTCAGCCTCCCAAGTAGTCACACAGTTAATATGTAATGTCACTAGGATTTACAAGTACTTTTGTTCTTCAGAGAATTTCTCTTTCCCATAAGGATTAGCCTTCTTTCAGTCTTGGCTCTGCATGAGTCCTACCATGTGCTCTGCCATGTCCCGAAGCTCCTGACCTCCTGAGCTAAAATTTGGCCCTTCCTGGCAGCCACCTTTTACAGCATTGTGTTGCAAGAGTATGTGACCACGTGGACATGTGACTTCTATCCAGTGATACTGTACACACTTTGACTGGATTTTATTGGAAAGCAGGAGGCAAATGTTTTGAAGTTAAGAGGCAAAACCATTTATCTGGTACAATTCCTTTCCTCTGGTGTTGGAGTTATTCGCCTGTCACATCAGGCAGTGGCCCCAGGGAACAGAGTGAATGGAAAAGGGCGATGGCAACCAGCATGACTCTGTAACCATTCAGACCCTGCAGAACCTGCAGTTCCCAGATCCAACTCTGGAGGGAGGTTACATGTGTGGGGAAAAAAATAGAGGAGAAAGAGAGGACTTCGGAGAGAAGTGCATGCAATGTACTCACAAATGGGGCAAAACTTCAAACTATGATCATACGGGAATGGAGCCCTGTCTCTAAAGTGACTTACCTGGGAATATCTTCCTCGATGGTTGCACATCCATAAAGAAACACAATCACCCCAATGACAGAAGACGGAATGAGGAACGACGTATACAAGCCCAGCCAAGCAAAATACAGCCCGATCTTCTCTCCAAAATACTTCCTGGAAAACCAAGAAAGGAGAGAAAATGAAACACATACTAGGAACATTATATACTTCCCATATTTCTTTTTGTTCTGTGGCTCAAAATAGGTTGGCAGAAAAATTCACTTTCTGTAATGGATTCAAAGGGATGGAAGGCTACAGGGGAAAGAGACCTCTGCACAAAAACTCCACAAGTGATCTTTGCTGAGATGAAGTGCATTCCACTCAACTTGCGCATGCCCATCAGTGTTGGCCATTTGTGGGAAGCAGATAGCTACAAGAAAATGACACAGTCCTAACAGCAAACCCAAAATATACCACCAGTTTCAGCACCCTCACCAGTATGACTAGCACATTGTTATTATTTTTTCCTTTTTCATTTTTTTTCATTAGCACATTACTATTTTAGACCCATACTGCTCAATCCGCAAAAAAGGAAGAACCTGCACAGAGGCAGCCCATGGTAGCTCAGTCTCCAAGTGGGTTCCCTACTAAAGGGAACACGGACTGTCTCTCTGACATGAACTCAGTGGCTGGCTCTTTGATCACCTCCCTATGAGAGGAGAACAGCCTTACCAGGCCACAGAGGAAGACAATGCATCCAGTCCTGATAAGACTTGATAGGCTAGGGTCAGATGGAAGGGGAGGGGGACCTTCCTTATCAGTGGACTTTGGGAGGGGCATGAGAGGAGATGAGGGAGAGAGGCGGAATTGGGAGGGGATGAGGGAGGGGGCTACAGCGGAGATACTAAGTGAATAAACTGTAATTTATAAAAATATAAATAATTTTTTTAAAGTGAAAAAAACTCATTTAACAAAATACATAAATCATATTTGTAGGTGTGTATACTAACATGCAGAAACCAACATACACATATTTAAACAATGACTAAAAAAAAAACTCAATAAAATGTTTGTAAATGTTTCTTTGGGTGTTTTTTATTTCTTTATTTTCTGATCCACTTGGTTGACACAGATTGATGAGCAAAAACTTATCCGACATGTCAGGCCATGACACAGTCCATGCCTCGAAATGCCCTCCCTTTGCTCCCTTTTAAAATGTGTTTTTCTCATGTTGAAAATACTTGGCACCAATGACCTACCCTCTTAGCAAAACCATTCATACTCTACTGTGTTGCTGTATAATGGGATTCTAGAACATTAGTTCTCAACCTTCCTAATGCTGTCACTTTGTGATGTGGTGTGGTGACCTCCCAACCTCCCAACTATTTTTGTTGCTACTTTCATAACTATAATTTTTGAAGCATAAATATCTGGCATGCACATGGTCTGAGGCGATCCCTGTGAAAGGGTCATTTGACCCTCCCCCATTGAGGTTGCAACCCACAGGTTAAGAACCACTGCTCTTGAGCCTATACATCCCATGCCAATAAAGTTTTATACCCTTTGGTTAACATCTTCTGTTCTCAGTGTAGGCCTGATAACCACAATCTCATGGGTTCTGCGTGACCACTAATAGTAAATCCCTCATTGAGACGACATCACACAGTGTTTGCACTGCTCTGCCTGGCTTATTTCACTTAGCGTAGTGGTCAGCAGGTCCAGCAATATTGTCACAAATGCCAGAACTTCTTTCTCTTCTAAAGCCACATAACACCTCATTGTATCAAGCACCACATTTGTCCATCTGTGCACCTGTGGATGGACACTTAGACTGTTTCCACTTTGGAGCAACAGTGGGTCATTGAGCTGTAAGCAAAGAGGTGAGCGTCTTTCTTCAAGATTCTGACCTCAGTTTCTTGGAAAATAGATCCAGAAGTGGGATTGCTGCATCAAATGGTAACTCGGTGTTTAAAGGAATATCCATGATGTCTCAATAATGTTTTCAGCAGTGTGCTTTTCACCACCCCATATCTCTATCTATACCTCTACCTTTTCATTTGGTACTAGCCATCCTAACAAATATGAAGTAATACCTCATTTTGCCTTTGTTTCATATGTTTCTGATTACTAACGATAGAAATTTATATTGCTTATTTGCATGTTTTTTTCCCTTGGTGAAATGGCTATTTAATTTCTTTCCATGTTTCAGTGGGTTTTTAATTTTCTAAGTTCTTTCTCTCTTCCTCCCTTCCTTCATCTCGTATTGAGTTACAAGATTTTCTTGAATATGAATCCCATACCAGATCTTTGGTTTATACATATTTTCTCTCATTCTTTTTTTTTTTTAATAATACAAAGCAGGAAACAGAGATTTACTCAATGCGGTCACATTGGGAAGAAGAACAAAGAGATCCAGAAAACCCCTGTGCTCATTTTTGAAGTCTTGAAATGAGTCAGATTGAGAATAGTTTTTAGACTGATACAATTCCATTTGTCTGCTTTTGTTTTTATTGCCTAAGTGCAGTATCTGTGAGATTTCCCCCACATTTTCTTCTAATAGTTCCAGTGTGTCAGGTTTTACATGTAAATCTTTAACACATTTGAGTTGATTTTGTACAAGGTAAAAATGAGATATCTAAGAATAAAATTAACCAAGGAGTAAAAGGTACATGGAAAACTATAAAACTTTGACTACAGAAACCAAAGAACACACAAATAAATGGAAGTAGATATCTTCTGGTCATGGATGGTAAGGATTAATACAGCAAAAATTTCTACATTACCTACTATCTAATAAATGTTATTGCAGGATCTTTATGAACACATGAAAACTATAATAATTATTTTCTATTCTCTATTTTCTAAAATTGGACAATTTTAAATGGTTCATTATTTAAGTTCACTCATTCTTTCTCTCACTTAATCATGTTGGCTCTCTATTGAGTTTTTCAGTTCTATCATTATCTTCTTCAGTTCCAGCATTTCCACTTTATTCTTTTTTGATTTTTTTATTCCTTTGTTTAGTTTTTCATTTTCCATACATTTGCCCCTCTATTCACTTCTGATTTACATTTCTCCACACGTGCTTTTACCTAGCTTGGTAAGATTCTTTCCGATTATTATTATTAATTATCTGTTGAGCAGATTGTGGATCTCAACGTTTTTTAGGCTCAATTTCTGGAGCTTTATCTGGTCCCTTTAATGGGTGTCATATTTCCATGTTCCATGTAGCCTTGACTTGCTTTCCCCTACATTTGGATAACAGCCACTCCTCACTCTTGCTGCTTAGTTTCATCTGATGACGATCTTCATCAGTCATGCTGGTAGATTATAGATGGATCAGGTGGCAGAGTCTGTAGGTTAAGATGGCCAGGAATATTTTGACACACACCAAGGTTTAAAAGTGGACCTTCTACCATGGCCTATGGATGCAACAATCACTGCAAAAGTCCATGGTCAGAAGGGCCTGCTTCAGGAGTAGGGTGCTTAGTAAGAGATTGTTGATTCATGGAGTCAGAGGTTGCTATAGAGTCTGTGTGAAGATGGGACTGTCTTTGGATTCCATGGGAAAAGATGGCAAGTGAAGAGAGTCTCTGTGAGATTCCCCAGTGTTTCTAAAAGGTCATAACAGCAGAGGCATAAATAGGGGTCCTTGAGGATATGAACACACAATGAGCTGCTTCTGCATCTTTGCGTATAAAGATTGAGCTAGCACTGGGTCCATAAACAGACAAGGGTGCCTCTAGGTCCACACCTGGACATATTTTAGCAGGAACATGGGCAGGTGGTTCTGTTACCAGAAGGCATCTGCCTTCTCAATGAAACCAAGTGTTGTAAACTCTTGTGTAAATCTCGGAGCTCTGATAAAGGCATATTTTACCTGTAGATGGTTATTAAATCCATGCTTCTGAGGGAGGCCTTCCTTTCTTCCAATCATGCTAATGTCACCTTATTTATATCTGTATTTTAAAATTTTTTTGGCTTTGTTGATAATTATTTTTACAATAAAAAGTGATTTCTTTTAAAAGGGAAATCACTACCTGTATCTTTTTTTCTCTTTTCTTTGAACTTAGCCAACTGTCACACTAAGGCAATTAATTTCATTAGAATAAGTATTAATCATGAATCTTTAAGAGAAAAAATATTCCACTAATAATAAACAGATTTCATTCCTTATGAGCCTATGGTGTACTGTGCAAAAAAGAACCTCCTGTCTTCACCTTGACGGAAAGCCTGAAAGATGTGTGGGAAATAATAAGACGTGTGGGAAAGAGAATTATAAGCCCACTTTCAAAAGTTGGTTTGTACTTAATAGTTAGACAACTGTAGGAGTACAGGGTTACCACTGTCTCAGGACAGAAATGAAGACAGTGTGTGAAGGAATACTTCCGTTGTGCCCAGCAGAATTCTGAAGTTTCAAGGGAACCAAAAAAACTGAAAGTGACAACAACATCCAGGGGAAGATGGAACATGTGCCTGGTTTTAGGCTTGACCCAGCATGGGCAGATTAAGCAGTCCTCGGAGAAGGAAGAAGGAAGAGTTGGCTGCTGCTGCTGCTGCTGTTATTGTTTACTGGACAACTGAGACCATGTATAACAGCCACACAGAATAGCCTGGCCACTCCAGACACAGAGCAGCCCGTACACACCTACAAGACCTTTTTCATAGGCTCCATACTGGTAATCTTTAGCAGGATGACAGGCAAGGTAGGAGACTAGATAGAAGATCTTTAGTTGCACACAGGTGTGAAATTCCATCTGTTCCCAAGGCCATCTCTCCTTCAAATCAAAAGCCTTAAGCAACTAGGGTAGGAACTTGACCTTAACACCCAGGCAAAGATCTGAAGCCAGGGGAAGACTGTACATAAAACCTGTTGTCTTCAGTAATTGTCTTTATTTCAGGAACCACAAAATTATAAATTATGAATCTGTTACTACTGAGTTAAGACAGGAATTCTCTTTCACTCAATAATCCCCAGCAAACGCATAGTTTGACTGCCAGGAGGTTGAGGATGGTTAAGGATGGGTGCCACTGGTACCTAAGCTGCCCAGCACTGAAAATGAGCCAACATGAAAAGCACTCTTCCCTTTGTCTCATTCCTCACCCCCGGTTTAGTTAGCATGGAGTAGCATGAATGATAGTTTCACTGCTGCTGGGGAGAAGCCGAAGCGTGG